GCTCCGCTGGAAGGCAAGGGGGGGGACCCGGGGGGGCTCCCGGGGCGGGGGGGGCTCGGCCCCGGCTCCCCCCGAGCCCCGGCGGGAAGGGACTCACCCTGCCCCTGTTGCAGGTGAAGCTGCCCCCGCAGAAGGAGGTGATCACGGCCGAGGAGCTGATGGCACATCTGGGTGAGGGGGGGCTCCCCTGGGACCCCCACGCTCCTCAACCACCGCTGGGATGGGGCAGTGGGGGCTCTCCTGGGACCCCCACGCTCCTGAACCACCACTGGGATGGGGATGGGGGAGCAGGGGCTCTCCTGGGACCCCACATTCCTGTTCCACCACTGGGATGGGGATGGGGGAGCAGGGGCTCTCTGGGACCCCCGCACTCCTGAACCACCACTGGGATGGGGCAGTGGGGGCTCTCCTGGGATCCCACACTCCTGTCCCACCACTGGGATGGGGCAGGAGGGGCTCCCCTGGGACCCCACATTCCTGTCCCACCACTGGGATGGGGGAGCAGGGGCTCTCTGGGACCCCCACACTCCTGAACCACCACTGGGATGGGGATGGGGGAGCAGGGGCTCTCTGGGACCCCCGCACTCCTGAACCACCACTGGGATGGGGCAGGAGGGGCTCTCCTGGGATCCCACACTCCTGAACCACCACTGGGATGGGGATGGGGGAGCGGGGGCTCCCCTGGGACCCCCACGCTCCTCAACCACCACTGGGATGGGGATGGGGGAGCGGGGGCTCTCTGGGACCCCACATTCTTGTCCCACCACTGGGATGGGGCAGTGGGGGCTCTCCTGGGACCCCACATTCCTGTCCCACCACTGGGATGGGGCAGCGGGGACTCTCTGGAACCCCCACACTCCTGAACCACCACTGGGATGGGGATGGGGGAGCAGGGGCTCTCTGGGACGCCACACTCCTGCCCTGATGCTGGGAAAGGGGTGAGGGAGTGGGGGCTCTCTGGGACCCCCACAATCCTGGGATAGGGATGGGGGAGCAGAGGCTTCCCCAGGCCCCCCACATTCCTGCCCCAATCCTGGGATGGGGATGGAGGAGAGGGGGCTCCCCTTGGACCCCCCCACCCCTGCCCTGCTGGGGGTGTGCCAGGGGTGACCCCACTGCCTTCCAGGGGATTGCATCCTGGCCACCCAACCCCGGGAGACGTCGGAGGGGCTCCAGCTCAACTTCCAGCAGGTGAGGAGCAACACCCCAGGTCACCCAACCCCACCACTGACCCCCTCCCCGCCCTCTTGGGGGGCACGGTCAGCTCCAGGACCTGGGGGTTCCCCCTTCGGGAGCAAACCCCCCTCGTTCCTCCTCCCTCCCAGAACATCAGTGACACCATGACGGTCCTCCCGAAGCTCTCGACGGGGCTGGACGTCAACGTGAGGTTCACGGGGGTCTCGGATTTCGAGTACACCCCCGAGTGCATCGTCTTCGACCTCCTCAACATCCCCCTCTACCACGGCTGGCTGGTGGACCCCCAGGTGAGGACCCCCCCCCTCGGCTGGTGGCTTCCACGGGGCCAAGGGAACGATCCAAGGGCTGCAGAAGCTCTGCCCTGAGGGGTCGGGGTCAACCCTGGACAAGGCCACCAAGCCGGGGGTGGATTCCCCATCCCTGGAAGTGTCCAAGGCCAGGTCGGACAGGGCTTGGAGCAACCTGGGCTGTGGAAGGTGTCCCTGCCCGTGGCAGGGGGGTTCTGGATGATCCTAGAAAGTCCTCTCCTGACCCAAACCCCTCTGTGATGTTTTGGACGGGGCTTTAAACCTGAGCTAACGGACGATTAATGGGAGGAGGTTGGACCAGGTGATCCCTCCCATCCCAAACCCTTCTGTGCTGGTGGAAACCATCGGGAACGTCCCTGTGACGGGGAAACTCCAAGCTGAGCCGCCCCTGGGCCGCCACAGGTTGGAAGCCGGGAGCTCACCCCCCTTCCCTGCCCTGCCTGCAGAGCCCGGAGACGGTCCAGGCCGTGGGCAAGCTCAGCTACAACCAGCTGGTGGAGAAGATCATCACCTGCAAACAGGCCACCGACTCCAGCCTGGTGAGCGAAGGTAACGGCCCCTCCCCGGGGTCCCTGGGGGCAGAGCTGGACCCCCCCAGCCCCACTGCCCTCCCCTCGGTGCCCCCACAGGGCTGGTGGCCGAGCAGTTCCTGGAGGCCACGGCGTCGCAGCTGAGCTACCACGGGCTGTGCGAGCTCACGGCCGCGGCCCCCGAGGGCGAGCTGGGCGTCTTCTTCCGCAACAACCACTTCAGCACCATGACCAAGCACAAGGTGGGCCCCTGCACAACCCCCCTGTGCCCCCCCCCAAACCGTGAACCCACGCTGACGGTGCCCCGTCCCCCTGCCCAGGGCCACCTCTACCTGCTGGTGACGGACCAGGGCTTCCTGCGGGAGGAGGGGGTGGTCTGGGAGAGCCTGCACACGGTGGACGGGGACAGCTGCTTCTGTGACACCGACTTCCACCTCAGCCACGCCCCGGGCAAGGGGGGGGACCCCGCGGCCCCCCCGGACCACCAGCTGCAGCAGAGACAAGTGGACCAGGTAGGGGACAAGCGATGCCGGGGTTGGGGGACACGCACGGACACCCCTGAGTCGGGTCCCAGCCCAGCTGCAGGGTCTGGGCTCGCCGTGCTGACCCCCCCTCTGTTTGTGTGCCTGTCCCCCCCCCAGGATTACATGGTGGCCCTGTCCCTGCAGCAGCAGCAGGGGCAGGACCCCCCCTCGGTGCTCAGCGACCTGGAGCTGGCGCGGCAGCTGCAGCACGAGGAGTATCAGCAGCACCATCCTCATCCTCCTCCTCCTCCTCCTCAGCAGCAGCTCCCAGGGCAGGTAATCAGGGCCCCCTCACCCCTCCTCTGCCCCTCTGGGGGGTGGGGGGGGGTCTCTGCAGGTCCCTTCAATCCCCAGCACCCCCCCTGACCCTGGCTGGTGGTGGTGGTGACCTTGGGGGGTCCCTGCAGGTGTCCCCACACCCCCCATATCCCTGCAGGTGGGTGGTGGCCCTGGTGGGGTCCCTGCAGGTCCCCCCACACCCCCATGTCCCTGCAGGTGGGTGGTGGCCCTCGGGGGTCCCTGCAAGTCCCCCCACACC